CACACTTGTAACAAGTCACTTCTTCGTTGCACTTTCCACCATGCTTCTTCTTGCATCTATCACACCATCTTGCTTCACCTCCATTTGCTCCTCCAAACTTTGAGAATTTGCTTTCCTTGTTCGGCCTCGAAGATCCTTCAAACTTCCGCTTCTCTCCTACCTTATCTTTTTCTAGACCTTTTCTCTTATCTGGGCCTCTACGTTCTTAGCTGCCCTAACAGCTGCTTTCAAAGTAGTTGCCATTTTGACCATTGGGCCAAAGTCAATGGGTAGTCCGTTAGCAAACCTATCAATCTTGGAGAGTTCAGTAGGCACCAAGTAGGGGAATAGCTTCATCCTTTCGGTGAATGCGGTGGCATACTCGTCAATACTCATCTTCCTTTCTTCAGGTTCTGAAACTCGTTGTTTAGGTCTATCAGATCTATCTCCGAGCAGTATTGCATTTTCAACTGTTCCAAAAACTCTTCCCACGACATCCTTAAGGCTTCTCCTCGTGGCATCGTATCTGCCAATAGCTTCCACCAGCTCAAGACTCCAGTTTTCAGCTGTCTTACTGCGAAGACAGTCTTCTGTTTCTCGTTACAGCTGCAGCTCTCAAACACCATCTCCATCTCAGAGATCCAATCCATAATCTCAACCGGCTTCGGGCTTCCTGAGAGATTTGGGGTTTCGCACCCAAGAAATTCTTGTATATCCGCCCATCCTTGTTGTTTCTCCCTTCAGGGTCATCCCTTTGCTCACCTTGAGTCCCTACTTGACTCACTTGGCGGCTGTAGTTCCCTTCCTTTGATTGCTCGGGAACTGGCTCTGTCGGTTCAACATGTACGGTAGGTTCGTCCCTATTTAACATTTGTCTCATTTCTTCCCTTTGTTCAGCAACATAGCCCGAATCATGGCTTGAACTCCAGCCATGGTGACTGGATCAGCGCAACTTCTTCTACAATAGGTATTTGCTGAACCACTGGGGGTTGGATCCTGTTCCCATTTGCGTTTACGTTTCCGCTACGGGTTCTTGCCATCTTGATCTATACACCGAATAAGGTGAATCTAGATCTTAATTTAGGATTGACGTCTTAAATCATCCTTATCACTCCGAAACGTTTATATGCTAGTTCTAATATCGTAGTCGTACATTTAGAATCCTAAACACATAAGGTTTCCAGATCCGGTCGGCAACAGACCATAGATCCGAACAACTAACAGCATATCAGGCACAAGTATTTAGCACATAAAAGCATTTTAGGCATAATTCCTAAAATAAGCTAGTGCTCACACCTCACAATCATCGCTTAGCATTCTAAGTTTAAGTCTAGAAATAGATTCATATTCCTAGTTCGCTTAAACTAATGCTCTGATACCAACTGTGACATCCCCATTTTCACGGCCAGAAAAGACCGATTTTGTTTATGCTTTATAAAAATCAGAGTACTTCATTTTATAAAAAGGTTGCGGAATTTGTTCCCAGAAAAACACGATAAATACGTTATTAAAACATTTTCGAAGAAACGTATTTTTATTCATTTAAAACGTTTGGGATGTCATCGTTAATACAGAAACATAAGCATAAACAGAACTTACATGTATTTACACTAGTGATCTACATCTCTTTAAATCTCTCAGTGTAAAGTGACTTCGTATCAACACCTGTGATATAAATAAACTGAGTGGGTCAGGTTGGGAAACCTGGTGAGTACATAGGGTTTTCAACCCACAATAATATAATTATTATGTTCAATCAAAGAATCAACCCAATTACCCATCCCCGTTATCTTTTTTTTTACTCTTTAAGGATTTATCCTAAGAGTCATCTATTCTTCATTCGTTTATTCCGAAGTCCCTTACTTCCAGGGTTCTAGGACTGGCACTAAATCCATAGCTGCCAATGTTCGTTCATAAAGCACTAATTCCATAGCTGCTATAGTCTATTCATCGGGTACTAAATCCATAGCTACCAGTCTTTATCTAATAGGTACTAAGTCCATAGCTACCAATGTTCAACAGGTACTAAATCCATAGCTACCAACGTCTAACAGGTACTAAGTCCATAGCTACCGGTGTTTGTCCCATAGGCACTAAGTCTATAGCTGCGAATGTATACTCACATCATCTTCTATCTATCATCATTTATCTACCCATCATCATACCCAACATATTCGTATATATAAAATACGTATACAGTTTAAATCCTTTAAAACATGTATAAAACGTTCATCCAGCATAGACAGCAAGTATTCAGATAATATGCACACATAGCACGTAGTTTATATAAAATACTTCATATCTATGTGTAAGATGAAAGAGACTATGCACTCACAACACGTAATTATATAATAAATACTTCATATCTATGTGTAAGATGAAAGGGACCATGCACTCACCTGAGAAGGTGGTGACTCGGTACTCGGACAGCGCTTCGTTTACTTTAAAATAATTTCTTTCGACGAAACCTAGTATTATCACCAATAGATTTTAGTCTATTATTCGCCGAGACTAATTAATAGTCTAGCTATTATTACTATTATATAAGCGTTAAAAAAATACTTATATAACCCATAATAATAGCCCAAGTATTTATTATATGTTCTTAATAACGTTAATATAATTAAATAAAAACTATATTAAAAATAGCGTAGGCGTAGCTCACTTACAACGGGTTTTATAGAAAACCAGGCTTTGCTTGGAGCAGCGTTTCCGAGCCGAAAAGCTCTTCTTCTCGGAGCCGTCGAGCACTCCGGGGCTTCCGCCTCGTGCTAGGGAGGTTCCCTAGGCTTTTCGGGGATTTCGGGGCTAGAGAGAGGTTCTAGAGAGAGAGTAAAGAGAAGAAAGAATGGGAAAGGTGTGAAGAAAATGAGGGTGGGAGAGGTGGTATTTATAGGGTGAAAATGGCTGAACTTGGTGCCACATGTCACCATCTAGTGGCAAGACTTGGGGAGAAAGCAATGGCCAAGATTGTGCCACATCACCCATTTTCGCATAGCACACTTCCGACTTCTAAAATCCGTAACTTTCACATACGACCTCTGTTTTTGACGTTCTTTATATCCACGCGTAGGTAAAAATAATATCTACAACTTTCATTTTGACTCCGTCGGCTAATTCTCGACCGATCTTAAATTTAACAGTACGAGGCGTTTAGACTGTTAAATGACCGCGAAGAATTCGTAACTCCTTCATACCGACTCCGTTTTCGTCTGTATTTTTACCGTTGAGTTCCTATTAATGAGATCTTGAACTCTCATTTAGGTCACGTAAGCCAAAAACCGCTCGAACTAAAATTCGAGTTTCGGGTCGTGCACTCCTAAGCCGAATCTTAGAAAAATCATAACTTCCTCATACGAAGTCAGATTTGGGTGTTCTTTTTATCGACGCTCTTAGTTTAACATATTCTAAGACTTTGGTTTAGATTGCTAAGGATAAATCTCGCTCTATCGTAAATTCACTATTTACGCTTCCCGGTGCCGTGCCGGTTTTGCCGTAAAACTTCGACGGGCCATAACTTCTTCGTTATAACTCGGATTTCGGCGTTCTTTATATGTACGGAAACCTTGTGACATATTCTACAATTTGGTTAAGATTATTTATTCTAAATAATCTTTTGTCGAAAAGTCATTTTCAGCCCATATTGCCTCTAAATTGACTAGCCCGGATCTGCGGGCGTTACACCGGTTAAGTACCAACATTTGACCATATCAAAGCACAAAACTCTTACTTAAGTCCCACTATGTATCTCAAGTGTTAAGGATACAAAGATAGTACCTTTTAATCAATTATCATTCATGATAACGATCCATGAGATGATCTTGATGCGGGTCAGTTCAATACTAGTTCTTTGATGGGTACTTATGAAACTTGGTTACAACCTATTGCCTACCTTCATCCAATGAAATTCAACCAATCCAATTCATATTAGTCTTACTTCATAATTGCTCCCATAATTATAACTGACTATGAACTTTTAGAATAATAAGATTATTCATGGATTAAACATGTTAATATAGAACACAACAAGTATTGATGTTATGATCATATCCCAATATATCAAAACACTATATAATAGTTGTTGTTACATAGTTCCAATATCCAAATACTAAATCCAAATCCAAATCCAATTTCTAGTATAATAAAGTCTTATAGTTGAAGTGTAACCATTCATACTTGGCTTAAAAGAAGGACTGTACTAATGGGTTCCACTAAACTTAATTTGTATGAATTCTCCGAATACTATCATCTCCATATTTAACTTTACTCAAGGTATAGTCAAATATCTTGGAGTATATGATTGATGTTCTCTCGTGATATTTCTATTAGCTCGATTAAGTATACTCTCGAAGTCACAAAGATTTCTATGTGATCCTTGAATGACAGAGATCAACATAGCTTTTCAATGAACTCATTCATCCAATCATATTAGATTTCAACTTCTAAAGTAGTGTATTCTTATTTTGTAGTATATTCTGTCATTTTGTTTTGTTTGGACCTCAGTCCAACTAAACTTAATCTT